CGCTCGTTTTGTTGACTGTATTCAGGAGGCCGACCTTGTTCACGGATTACGCACGGGCTTTAGGGTAACTCCACGTGGACAGCGACCCTTTCGGTCCAGGCAGCAATCGCTATCTGTCTAGGCTCCTTAATCGGTGTTTTAATAAGCGCTTCCCAAGCCCCTTAAAGGCCCCCCTTAAAGGGGTACTCGCACGAAATTTTGTTGCCGAGATGGCCTGCGCTTTTGTGAGCTTTTCATGGGGTGGAAGGTAGACGCGCCGTAGAAGGTCGTTATTTCATGAAATGAGTCGATGCCTCGTTCCCAGCATTCCCCGAGTGGGCAGGGGACCCATACTAAATTCAATAGTTTTATCACGCTGGCAGTTTCTCAGAAACCTTGCCGCTCGCGTGTTGATGCTCCTTTTCTAAAGTTTGTAGTAGCTCTCTTTGAGTCACTTGAAATCATTCTAGTGGAGGCGGTCGTCATGGCCAAAGCAATAACGACCTCTTCGTCCTCTACAGCTAGGGCACCTGTTCCGAAGCGCTATCTGTACACCTCCTGTCAACACACTCACGGTATACCATTGGCCATTTTGTTTGACCGCGTCCACGCGTGTGACGAATGGGTAGTCTTTGTTCTTTTCATCAAGGTATTTTCCCCGGCAGACCGCCTTCTGTCGTGTCTTCCCGGTAGCATGTTCTTGGGGACAAGCTTCGCCGCGAACTGGCGTCTGATCGCCTGTGGTGACGAGGTGTGCACCGCTTAATCCATCGCGGGGTTAGTAAACGGTGGTTGCAGCGCTGACCGGTTCAGCTCGGATGATGATGATGATTCCGGGAGAATGGCACTACCCACCACCGAGTGATCGGCCACATGGCGTGCGGCAGTATGATTAGTTAACCAAAATTAAGAAGTAATAAAAAGGGGCAAGGGAGAGGAGAGAAAGGGGCGAAAATATGCGAAAAAGATAATCTAAAGAGGGACAAAAAATATTTGTGATAATTTTGGTGTCTTTCAATGCAGTTGCATTTAAATTTGAACGTATGAACTAATTAATGGGTATAATAAGGTGAAAGGATAGATGTACTGGTAGTTTTTACATGGCATTCTCTTTGGTACTTTCTGATTAATTAATTATAAACATGGGGGGGGGGTTATAAATGACCCTGTCACAGTGCCCCAGTGCCGGACGACCCCAGGTAGAGCAATGCCGATGTAGAAAGCTCCTTTTCTGAAAAGGTGGCTTTAGAAATCTTTGCCTTAGGCTCTGATATCTTCGGCACTCCATAAAGAACTGTTTGATCGTTTCTTCACTACGTAAGATGCATTGGGGGGATGGAACAAATCCAGGCATGTGTAGGTAGAAATTTTTTTACAATATTCTGCATTACAATTTGGTTACCGTAACTTCCCATTGTCTTGTGCTGCAACATGAGCTACTCCACAAATACCTAAGATGCTAAAAAAATGTGTTGCCCCGCCGCGGTGGTCTAGTGGCTAAGGTACTCCGCTGCTGACCGGCAGGCCGCGGTATCGAATTCCGGCGGTGGCTGCTGCATTTCCGGTGGTGGTGGAAATGTTGTAGGCCCGTGTTCTCAAAGTTAGGTGCATGTTAAAAGAGCCCCGGGTTGTCTAAATTTCCTGAGCCCTCCACTACGGTGTCTCTCATAATGATATGGTGGTTTTGGGACGTTAAACCCCACAAATCAATCAATCATCAAAATTGTGTCGCTCATTGCAGAAAATTAGTACGATCCTCGTGCAGACAATGATTTGTGTATCGTGCGATCGTTTTATTGCGGGATGGTTTTTGAATATTTAATATAAGTAATATTTAGGGACAGGTCCTTTGACCGATGCTGCCGCTAAGATGTGCGCCGCTTCATTTTTATTCTAATCCAGTGTGGCCTGGGACCCAAACCAGTCAGGTGGTCGAAATTTCCGGAGCCCTCCACTACGGCGTCTCTCATAATCATATGGTGGTTTTGGGACGTTAAACCCCACAAATCAATCAATCGACCCAAACCAGATGGACGTTCTGCACATGATTCGCCATATACGAATAAAGCTATGCGAGGCAGCTCGACGAGACAGATGCTGCTTGCGAAGTGCACACGGACAAGGACTCTGTTTCACCACTACTGAAGAAGTGCGTGATGGGAGTTTACGCAGTGGAAGGGTAGTTGCCATTAGTTCTGCCTGGAGTATTCGTGTGAAATCGGGCAAGCGAAGAAAAAAAAAAGGACCAACTAAGATCCGTTTAGCTCCGAGCTCTAGCGTAGACAGCTCGTTGTCCTCTTCTATGGGCGCCCGCCCCCACGCGCACTGTGAGACTGTTACAAAAGACGAAAAGAAAAATTAAATTAAAAATTGCAGTATGCGTGTAGAAACGTGACGCCGCCTTGTTTTCATGCGGGAACTTGAAGGTCCCGTATTTTATTATTGCGCGTTTTCTTGTGACGCGCGTGGCAATTTCGGTATTGCGAAGGAGTAATTCAGTTATACGAAAAAAAACAAGTCTCTCTCTAGCTTTTTTTTTTTTGTGACGTATAGTTTTTGGCGATGGGTTTTCGAAGCCAGCTGGCCTCACCAGCTACGGTGCGGTGCATTGTACGGGACGAATAAAGCGTAGCGTTGCGTTTTCACTTGAAAAAAAAAAAAAAAACGTGTATGGCGGGGTTTACAACATTGAGAAAGGATGAAGGCTGCAAGCGTGCGCGCTGTCCGTGGCGACGACGACGAAGCTTTTCGTCTTCATTTCGCGTGCCTCGCGTTTCTGTGTTTTGTTTGTTTACCGTGTGCCGCCACTGCGCCTGCTGCTTCCGTGCGGCGGCGGACGCTTTCGTTTGGTTTCTTTCGTCGCCTTCCTTTCTGCCCGCTCTTTCTCCTTCAAGGTCGGCCGTTCGCCTTTTTCAAAGCCTTGCCCCAGTAGTCTTTCTCTTGATGCCGCCTTTGCCGATTTCTTTCTTTTTTTCTGTAGCGTTTTCTTTTTCTTTTTTTTTCCCGTGTTGTCTCGTTCTCGAAGGGAGATGATTATTCTTGTTCGCGTCTCGCTTTTCTCTGGGGCACTCCCCCCCCCCCATCCTCTTTCTCGCCGTTTATTGTCACCTCCCTCCGCCCTCCATTCGGCTTACGTTCATTCATTCGTTTTCATTCATTCATCGCGCTTTTATTGTTGCCTCCCTCGCCCCGCCTGGGCAACCACGCTTCCGCGTTCTTCTCGCCGACGAGTGTGCGCCGCTCGTCCCCCCCCCCCCCCTCTTTTTCTCGCTCTTCTTTTTGTTTTGTCTCATCGCGGCTCGCTCGTCGAGCTTTCTTTTTTTATGCTTTACTCGTTTATTATTATTGGCCTTCTTTTCGCCGCTATCATTAGTCACTCGCGGATGCCCCGTATTTCTTTGCTGTTTTGATCGCTCTTCATTACTTTTTTTTTCTGTAGGCGTAAGTGATCGCTTAGCCCCTTTTTTTTTTTTTTTTTGAGCACCGTATTGCAGTTGGCGTGGCGATTATGAACCGCTCAGTGTCGATGATTACGTCGTCGGTTGTTGCGCGATGTTTCGCGATACCCGCCACTTTGTTTTGTTGCCCTCTAGTTGCTGTTGTATTCAGTGCATGGTCGAAGAAGTCTGTGAGAGCTATTGAAGTTCTGCAGCTGGAGGTTAAAAACAGAGCCGGAGTCTCTGGTAATGGTGTGCTCTGAACCTGAACGATTGTCCTAATGTCGTTTTGAGCCAGGACCCACTTTGTTGTGCTGACTTTACTGGTGAGATACATCGTTTGTGTTTTACCTGTTGCAAATATAGCAATTAGTAGGAACAAACTGTGTCGTTCTACTTTTATTTCTTTCTTTCTGTATTACGTCTCGGGTGTCAATTTAGCAAAGTAATAGGTAGTGCTATGCGTTGGGGGAGATCTGTGTGTGTCTAGGGCGATTATGTGAACTGTTGAAGCTTGATTTAACAAAGTCACGGGGGTGCTTGAACTGTTGCGGTTAATTCGCACTTATGTCGAGGTGAGCTTTCGGCCATTCGTAACCTTAATTAGCATTGCCCGCGCACACTGCAGCATTTATTTATCGCTAATGCACATCACCAAGTCCGGAAACATGGACGTGGATTCCTCCCATTTGTGGACCGAACGGATGAGGTAGAAAGGCAGGGAGAATGAGTGCAGTTAATGTGCGAGTAGTCAGAGCATAAAAGCAACCACAATGTTCCCGCGGGAGTATTTGCAGGAATAACAAACCACTACTGCCCAGCACCGTTCGACAAGATGTCGCTGACCATGGGGTGCAGCATTGTAAAGGCAAACCCTAGGACTTGAATCACTGCATTTTAGCTTATATAATTCTGAAAGACCTTTGTTAAATGAGGTTGAAGCGCATAAAAGGTTTGTTATTCAATGTTATGACAGCATTGAATGCTTTTCTATGGGTACATGCCGGCGAATGGAAATTTTTGTTGGATTAGGGGAAAAAAAAATCATAAAATCAGTCTTCATGTGACCAGGTGTTAATGTAACTTAAAGGTTTATTAACAGTTTGTGTAAGTATTCTAACACTCTAAGAAATAGTATGGCGTTTGCAGCTTGATCTGTCAGCCCGCTGTATCGGGTGCTTCTAACTTTCTGCGTGCAGTTAAGAATACGAACAAGGCACAGGACTTTTGAAAATGTGTTTCATGAAAAAAGTTGATTTTGAGTTTTCGCGGTTTAAGGTATGTCACCTCTCGAAGTGTCACTAGTGTTTTCGATTGATGCGTGTTTGATATTTTTCGGGAGTACCTATAGAACAACAGGTCATTGATACGTGAGCTCGAAAGCTGATTTTTCGTGGAGCATGTATTTTGTGAACCCATTGGAAACGGCTTGCCCATGATACCGATCTTATACTTTTGTGAAGCCACGCTTGTTGCACGATGGTTGTACATCCGTAAAGCCAGCATTTACTTGGTGCGAAATCTGATTTGTAGACAGGGTCCACTTGATCACACTGGCTTCTTCCTTTCGTGTCTCCTCCACAGCTTGGTGGCACCATGCACGATCCTGGTGGTGGTGGTGGTGGTGGCGGCGCCGTGCCTGCAAGTGCCGGCGCTGCCCCGGCCAGCGGGGCTGCGAGCGCAGGTGGTCCAGCGGCCAAGCGGCCCTACATGGGGCCCGCTCAGTACACGCAGTACCAGCAGAGGCAACCCTACCCAGGACAGCCGAGGCCGCCTAGCCAGGGATACCCGCAGCAGCAGGTAGGTCTCACTCTTCGACGTCCACTGCTGCTTGCACTGTTGTTACGGTGCTGATAAGGCTTATCTGTGGAGGGCCCGCAAGCATCATTCCTCTGGTTGCTTGGATAAAGAGAGGGCCAATGGCCGTTGCATTACCCGCATGGCCATGATCTAGAAGCTAGTAAATATTCAAGACTACAGCTACTCTGGCCAAACTTCTGATGTGCACAGCCTGCCGGTGACAAATTGCAGCTGGCTGATGACAAGTGGGGTGCATTCCGCACACTATTTTAGGCTTTTTTATTTTTAGAGTGAGCGTGATTTAATTGGCTGTTAAGTACGCATGCAAAAGTGTAAATGAGCAGTATCTGTAATGATTTTTCAAGGCCCTTGGCTTTAACTACAGCAAGCCCGAGGCCATTGGGAAGTTCTTTTTTGGTGAAAGGCTATGTCATACTTCACGGCAGTTGCTATCTGGCCTGAGTTTCAAGCGAAAATATTTGAGAAGCCAAAGTTACAATAAAGCTTTATACGGCTGTGTTAGACTTTTTCTTATCAATAGTAAACTTTGCTCCAATGACACTGAAATAATGCATGTTGTTTGACTAGTTGGTTAATCGATTTTGAAGAGGTGTCCAAACAGCGCGAAGCAAACAACGCAACACACTAGAGACACATAGAACATGCACAAACGGAGCACACACTGCACTTTGTATGCGCGTGTTATATCGTGTCTAACGTCTTGCTTCTCGCAGTTTGAACATGTCTTCAACTTCCACAGACACAACCACACAGGAACTATAGAGAGGGTGGGTGCTAATACAAAACATGCCACAAGTAGCCCCTACAGCATGTACTAATATTATGATAGCTTTTTGAGGTTGTTTAGAAAACCTGTAAATTATTAAAATCATGCTCAATAAAGCTTAGCACTGCTGTGTGGAAGTTGGAAAGTTGGACCGAGCATTAAAACACATTTTTGAAGCAGTCTTAGCCGTGAATCATATGAATTGAGTTTCTAATTTCTGCCTGGCACTTGAACTAAGAAAAATTACAAAAGCCCCTTTGTGAGTGCTCATTGCGTTTTCCTAGTTTATGCTTAGACATCTGTGTTGGGAGGAAACATGCAAGATATTGGTCACACTGGTGCATTTGTAAATGGGATTCATAGAACTTGGAGTTTCATTGTTGCTGAGGCAGTGCTGTGTGCGTTGTGTACTTGAATTTTTAGGGCCGTTGGCAACAGGGTGTGTTGCAATATCTCATTTCGATTTGTCAGTTAGATGATGGTGTCACAAGCGAACTTGCTGGCAGTGATAGGGGAGAGTTATTCCATATTGTAGAGTCAAGTTTCTACGAACAACAGCAGTTCGAATAGTTAATTGAGGTAGAATGAACTCTGATGATAATTTTAAAATGTCTCACATCTCAAAAGCTGTCAATGTGAAAACCAGCTCACATAAAAAAATATTTAATATACTGGGAAATTACAATTTATTTTCCATAGACAGAAGCAATTGGATATTAACTGGGAAATCAAATGAGAGCTGTATATTTTTTTAGGGTTAGCTAAGCACTTTTTAAAGTTATGCAAGCAATTGGGATGCAGTTACAGGACATCATCATCATCATCAGCCTGACTACGTCCACTGCAGGACAAAGGCCTTTCCCATGTTCCGCCAGTTAACCCGGTCCTGTGCTTGCTGCTGCCAATTTATACCCGCAAACTTCTTAATCTCTCCTGCCCACCTAACCTTCTGTCTCCCCCTAACCCGCTTGCCTTCTTTGGGAATCCCGTCAATTACCCTTAATGACCAGCGGTTATCCTGTCTACGCGCTACATGCCCGGCCCATGTCCATTTCCTTTTCTTGATTTCAGCTATGATATCCTTAACCCCCGTCTGTTCCCTAATCCACTCTGCTATCTTCTTGTCTCTTAAGGTTACACCTACCATTTTTTTTTCCATTGCTCGCTGCGTCGTCCTAAACTTAAGCTGAACCCAGTCTCCAGGTTTCTGCTACGTAGCTAAGTACCAGCAAGATACAGCTGTTATATACCTTCCTTTTGAAGGATAGTGGCAATCTACCTGTCATAATTTGAGAGTGCTTGCCAAATGTGCTCCACCCAATTCTTACTCTTCTAGTTACTTCAATCTCGTGGTTTGGCTCCGCGGTTATTCCCTGCCCTAAGTAGACATAGTCTTTTACAACTTGAAGTGCACTATTACCAAACTCGAAGCGCTGCTCTTTTCTGAGGTTGTTGTACATTACTTTCGTTGTCTGCAGATTAATTTTAAGACCCACCTTTCTGCTCTTCTTGTCTAACTCCGTAATCATGAGTTGCGATTCGTCCCCTGAGTTACTCAGCAATGCAATGTCATCGGCAAAGCGCAGGTTACTAAGGTACTTTCCAATAACTCTTTTCCCTAACTGTTCCCATTCTAGGCTTCTGAAAACCTCCTGTAAGCACGCGGTAAATAGCATTGGGGAGATTGTGTCCCCCTGCCTTACACCCTTCTTGATTGGTATTCTGCTGCTTTCTTTATGAAGCACTATGGTAGCAGTTGATCCCCTGTAGATTTCTTCCAGGATGCTTATATATACTTCATCGATGCCCTGATTCCGCAGTGTCTGCATGACGGCTGATATTTCTAATGAATCAAACGCCTTCTCGTAATCTATGAAGGCTATGTATAGTGGTTGATTATATTCTGAGCATTTCTCTATTACCTGATTGATAGTATGAATGTGGTCGATTGTCGACAGGACATGTGGTATGAATGTGGTCGTTCGACATCACTCGTACCATAATGCAAGTGTATCAAAGGAGCTACACTTGATTTTAGGTTATGTCCGCCATGGTAGAACAGAGGCTACTGTGCTGGGCTGCTGACTTGAAGGCCGCAGGTTCGATCATGGCCACGGCGGTCGTATTTCGATTGAAGCGAAACAGTAGAGGCCCGTGTACTGTGCATTGTCAGTGCAGATCAAAGAACACCAGATGGCCAAAATTTGTGGAGCCTTCCACTACGGCATATTTCATATTGGTATTGGGGTTTCGGAACACAAAACCCCCATATAATACGATATAGGTTTTAAGTTATGTTTTTCTCAAGCAGTGCTTTGCCTCATTTTTTTTCTTCACCTTGGTGATTGTTTGGCAATGGGCTGTACATTGCTGAGGCCACGCTTCTTCTTCTTTGTTGATCTCTCTCATGACCTAGGCAATTTTGTATCTTCTTCTCTATTTAGGCTTGTCCGGCCTATGCTGTTCTACAGTTAAAGGGGGCCCTGCAGCACTTTTTGAAGTAACTATTGAATAGCTCCATTTGTGGTGGCCTCTTGCAATGTCCTTGTAACTATGCAATGCCTCATGTTCAAATCAAACCTATCAATTTGGGTGCATGGCACAGTCATTTGGTAATAGCATCATTTGTAAAGAAAAAAGGAAGGATTTCTATTTAACTTCGAAAATTAGTTGTAAATTTGACGTCACGTGCTGCGCTATAATGTTCGGCTCGCATATTCTCGAAAGCCTCATCTACCAATGGGCAGCATTTTCTAATCACACCGACGAGATGTTGCTGGGCCCCTTCAATATGCGCTTATGTAGCTCTTTGTCTTTCATAATTGCGGCCAGAAAGAATAGTTGAAGTTCTGTAGGGGGTTCACTTTATAAGGCACCGTCATAGATATGGATCCATATTGGAGAAGCCGTTAAATAATGCATCATGTATACAAAGTAGGACACTCCAGAAGGCAGTTGACATTGTAGTGCTTTTTACTTGGTGATTTCACTCATCCTTCCTTTGAGACAGAAGCCGTGCATACCGCCATGCGTGAATCATTGGGTGTTCTCCTCTGATGGATTCTGTCATTCTCCATGTTGTCCAAAACATTCATATTTCAGCACTTTCTGAAGCCATGCATGCCACTCGGGTGGTGTGCAACATACACTACACATGTGCTGCATAGAGCGCCGCTGTGGTCCTACAAACTTGTTTTTGCACTGTACACTAATGCCTCGTTATCGAAAAATGTCGAAAAATGTCTCAAAATCAGCAAGCTGAAATTTTTTGTGGTACTGAACATTTTCCTATAGGTTCCACGTAGATGCTTTCCGCAAATTGCGAAGTCTCAACCCAGCAACATATCAACATTGCAAAGCAACCCTTTGGCAGGTCATGTGACACATGCGCTTAGCAGGAAGCCTCTCTGCCCACGCTTGGTGTAGTTTGTTTTGTTCACTTTGTGCAGTGCACATGATTTTAAGAGTTGCGACTTCCGCTCATCTGCGCAAAGTAAGGGGTACGGATTTTTCGCTGACTGTGAGGAGTGGCAACTTACTGTGAGTGTGGCAAGCATGGCGTCAAAGTATTGCAAGTCCTTAATGTTGGGAAAAAAAAAGGTTGCCCTAATTAAGGAAATGGAGAAAGGAGGCCGAACGAAATCGAGCATCACTCTGGAATTCGGTATCCCTTTGTCTATGCTTTCGACAGTGCTGAAAAACAAGCAGGAGGTGCTGGATAGATTTCAGCAGAGCTTCTCCAGCCAGTGGAAGCGGGCTAGAGAGCCGAAGTTCCCAGACGTTGGAGCTGTATTGATGCTATGGCTGCTAAACGCCAGAGCAACCAATCTTCCCGTCACCACAGCAATAATGATGGAGAAGGCAGCTCTGGCATTTCAAATGGGGCACACGGATTTCAGTTTTATCAGCGGCTGGCTTGTCCGCTTCAAAAAATAAGGAACAGTGTGGCGTTCATGTTAATGCATAGCAAGAGTGGCACTGTTGACGCAGCTACTGCAGACAATTTGTGCAGCAGCCGGCTCGCCAAGTTGAGGGAGAGTTACGCCGACAGCGACATTTTCAACCTTGACGATGCAGCACTTTTTTTATAAAATGTTTCCGAGCCGGCATTTTCACACCGAAAAGTGGAGTGTGCTCGGTAGTGAAACAATTGAAGGACAAGGTCACTGTCCTTTTCAAGGCAAATACCACAAGTTAAGAGAAGCTGCTGTTACTCATAATTAGCAAAGCTCTTAAGCATAAGTGCTTTAGAAATGCATGCCTGTGCAATGGGGTTATCTATCGTGTGAATAGAGCAGCGTGGATGACTGCTACTCTTTTCGAAGAGTATGTTCGCGCTATAGATAACGAGGTGGCCAAGAAAAACAGAAAAGTTGTTTTTCATTTTTGACAGCTGCCCAGGCCACTGCAAAATAGAGTTTGGAAACAGTGGCAGCCGAGTTTCTGCCTGCAAATATGACTTCTGTGCTGCAGCCGATGAACCAAGGTGTGATCGAAGTCGTCCGAAAAATCCACTGAAAGGACCTTCTTAGCAGAATTTCGTTGTCTTACTAAAAAGGCAAAGGCAAAGAAATTGACCTGCTGGGAGCAGTACACATTCTCAGCAGTGCTTGGCAGCAACTTCGTGCAATGGCTATTGCCAACTGCTTTCCGCACACTGGGTTTTCACATGCTGCCGGTTTGCCAGAAGTAGAGACGGCAGAGAGTGATGACTTCTCAGACTGTGAGGAAAATTTATCAGGAGGTCACTAAGCTTGCACGTGACGGTACCTCCGAAAATGACATGACATTTCTGAAGTATGCACTGTGTGAGAAGTATGTGCCAGTGACCAGGGAAGTGACGGACGATGAAATCATTCAAACGGCCACTAACGAAGGGGACAGTTGGAGACAAGGACAATGACGAACTACCTCGAGACATGCCGACATCTTCTTGGATGAGAAATTTGCTGCGCTTGCTTCGAAATAAGGTCAAGGGCAGTGGTGGGACAGATAGACTGATCTGATGCGTCAAGCAGCTGGAGGACGCCTTCCTAGGCCAGAGTACGACCACAAAGCAGACGAGCATTAGGCAGGTTTTCTCTTCTAAATAATATGGCAGTGCAGCAAAACCCAGCCGGTTAAAGGATCTTTTGTGTTATTTGTTTCTTTTTTAAACCTGCGCGAAAAGAAACATAAGAAACCGCCGCTGAAGAGCCAATAAGTAGTAGTGATCTTTCTGAAAAGAGCCGATTTTTTTCCAGTGATTAGTACAACTTTGCTTATCTCGAAAATCTGTGTATCTCGAAATTTTCCCTCGTTCTTACAACTTCGAGTTAACGAGGTATTACTGTATTCCGGTTGCTTACTCGTGCTGCTCACTAGCGTGAACCAATAATCTATTCTTTACAGTTGATAGCGGCTCTAACGGCTATGTCTTGTTTGCAGGCAGTGGTGTCTGCTCGAACTTTGATGATCATTTGTGCCAGTTGGTGGCCCTTCTGCTGTGTGATTTATGTAAACACATCTATGTTTTTACATATAACCGTTCCAGTCAAGATAAAGAGAAAAACATATTACTCCTTCCAAGGTAGCCTCCAGAGCTCGAGGGCTTGTGACTGACACCTACGTGAGGATATCTGTCCCAATCACCGAAGAACTCACTGGACTTTTTAAAATAAAGTTGCTTCATCCTCATTATTTCTAATGAATGGGTATGCCATGAAAGGAAGAACTTGTGTGTGACATTTTTGAAGCAATTTAGAGCTCCTGCTTTCACATTCATTAGTTACGCACTGAAGCCAGGAGAATGAAGTTTAATAGAGACACTCAAAAGCTGCCTTTCTTGCTATAAAAGCACGAAGCTTAAAGTTATTGCCAATCCCTTATGCAACATATTGTACTACAAAAACTAACAGCAACAACTCGAGCACATACTTCTAGTCATCACTTCTAGTACTGCATACTGTGGGAGTGTTCGTATGATATTAAAATGGTTACGCATTCATTGCTTATTTAGTTTGTCCCGTACTCTTTACACAGACAGTTTGTGACAGGGCTCGTTACATAAGACATAAAGTGGCTTTTCGGTTTTTCGAGCAGTAATGAAATTAGATTCACTTAGAAGGCACGTGGTTTTAGTGACAGTATGCAGGCATTGTCAAGATTACTTAAGTTGTGCCTGTTACAATTTAGTCAAGCGAAATTTGGTGGCTTTTTAGTGACACATTCGCTTCTTCTAACTGCGGCTCTTTTTGTCTTGTGCAGATGTCGCCTTACCCAACTGGTCCCCAGCCGCCACCTGGGCAGGTGGGTGGACCCCACCCACCCTCGCCTGCACCATCACCTCACCAGCAGGAGAGGCCCACACCACCGCCCCAAGCCCAGGGTTCGGCGTCACCATCTCGGGGTGGTGGCCCCGACGGTCCTCCATCTCGGCAGGGCACGCCCAACTCTCACCCTTCGGCCTACGGTGGCTACCCGCCTTCTTCCTCGTCTTCGGCTGTGGGGCCTCCCTTACCACCCACCTCGGCCTCGTCGTCATCTCTGTCCTCCTCTGCATCAGTGGCCCCTACGTCTTCGTCCTCCTCGTCTTCTTCCTCCATGTCTTCATCAGGTGCGCCAGGACTTTCAGTGTCGCAGCAGCAGCAACAACAACAGCAGCAGCAGCAACATCAACAGCAGCAGCATCAACAGCAGCAACAACATCAACAGCAACAACATCAACAGCAGCAACATCAACAGCAGCAACATCAACAGCAGCAGCAGCAACACCAGCAGTCGGTAAGTTGGGGTTCCCTTCACTCTAGATAATGTGCCAGCCAGGGCATCGCATGGGCAGAGTTGGAATGGCTCTGTTTGATGTGACCAGGAGCACCTTCATTTAAATGTCCATTCAGAACATTGGCAGCATCTAGATTGCGTTACCAATATGCATTCGTCAAACAGCACTATTGAGATATAGGTGCAAAGCTTTTTTCTTTTTTATGTCAGTATGCACTAGAATACTAAGGCCTCTGTGGTTTTGTGTTGTTGCCTGAAATATAAGGGTGCCGCGCGGAGAAAAAACTAAAAAAATTTTATCTTGTATTTTTGAGAAGATTTCTGAAAACGTATTGAACAGTCAGAATTGCAACATTCTATATTGTTCTAAAAGTTGAATTACTTGGCATCATTCTTTCTTCATGCTGCACTACCTTACTGTTACTTAAGAAGGCTTTGAAAGCATAGCAGGTATATATATATATTTTTTTTTCTACCTCTTTATTTCTGAAATTTAGTAGAAAACATGAATTGGCGTTATGTATGAATTGGCGTTATGTGATAAAGTGAATTTGTGCATCATATTAAGATAGGCACAGGGGGGTTTTGCACCTGATTCATCTCACGACCGTCCTCGGACACCTTACTGAAACAAAAGAGGAGTGCCATAACCCACCAGTGGACACACATTAACTTGTGGACATCACAAGTAGAACTCCATTAAAATTTCAATCAAAGAAAGTTTTTTCCCACAGTCTTTCGTACTGCGTCTTCCCGTATGTCATTAAATGTCACTACCCAAGGAATACCACAGCCTATCCAACGTGCCACCAGGTGGACCCACGCTCCTGTGCACAATGCATGGTAGAAGAGCAGAATCACACTAGGCCGACCACCCTGTGAATTGCACCTGGAATGTGCGGTTTATTGCTTCCTACCCATCACAGACGGTGCTTACCATTGCCACACCAACAACGGAGTGCACTGGTACATAGGTGCACCCTATTGAGACATGTAGTAGGTGCTTTGTAACTTTACAAAATGCGTTGGAAGTACTATTGTGAGGAGAGTACCTCGCAGCTGTACGTGCTGTAGGTGCCCAAAGAAAGTCGCAGAGTAGCTCTTCCAGCTTACTCCTTCACTGCTTTGTGTCCCGCGCAGGCCTTGCGATTTTTTTCTCATCCCACCTAGCTTCCACCGTGTGCAACGAATGCCTTCAATGCTTGAGGCTTTAGCAGAATAGGCGGAGTGAGGACTTTTTGCTAAAAGGAAGTAATGATGTTCCACTCCAAACGACAGCTGTTGATTTGCAGTACATATATGTAATGTAGCCACAGAGCTAATACTAGTCGGCAAGAAAACCCCACTAGCAGCCTACTATTGAACCACGAGAGTGTGAGCACTGAAAGCATGATCGAGTGTAAAACACTGTGGTGGCAGAGTGAAACTCTGCATGGATATCTCCTGGTGACAAAGCGAGTATACCTTCTTTTTGTACCTTTATATTTTGGAACGAATGACAGTGTGATCAAATGTTAGTACGGTACATATTCATAGACTCAACCTGGATATCAAATGTGCGTTTGATTGTTAGCCCTAGTTTTATACTTACTATTTGCTACTACAGTTTCAGACTTTGGATGACCGTCCACGCCTTTTGAAAGGGAGTTTATGATCACCCAGATTTTATCCCTTCAAGGACTCCTCTAGTATTCTACAGAGCACTAAGTGTCGTCACTGGTACTACTACTATTGCAATTCTCGCACGGTGGCCACAATGCACAATCCACGTAGATTTTCAAACTTGTGTTGCATCTTTGCATGTGTTTACTTTTTAGGCCCTTAGCATGCTTTAAAGATTATCCAGCTTGTTCCAATACCATTACATGTTTGCGTGCTTCCACCATGCGTGAAAGGAAGAGGCCGGCTTGACATATGTCAGGCTGTGGAATACGGATGTAAAATAAATAGATGTGACATTCGGGATCAATGAGAAACTTTGGCCCTGGCATTGCTTTTGAGAGCCTTTCAGTAACGTGAGCGTCAGTTTTTTTTTTTTTTTCGGACTTCGGTATATTGTGAGAACTTCAATATTCCGGAAGAGAACCACAGATATTGTGCAGTGAAGTGGCTTGCATTCCTTCGGCTGCGAGAGGATGGAATAGGTTGTAGATGCTGCCTCGTGAAAAAGAGGCATCTGGACGGAGGAATGGTTGACCAGATCTGCCATGCCGGCTCTTCTGCCTGTGAGGACATCGTCTCCTCCACTGCACCTCCACTTTCTCAATGTAATCACATTTGTTTGGTGAATGTTCTCATCCTTCTTTACATCTCTCTGGAACAGGCCCGTCTGCTCAACACCAATGCAATCAGATGACATTGTCACAGGAGAAATGGCGACGTTTATTACATCATTAGCGATATTTGCCTGCTACATTATTACTAAGTATCTTTAGGTTATAGCACCTTAGCATGGTGCTAAACTTCGTGTACAATAATAACCATTAGTATAAAAGAGACCAAGCCAGTTTATAGTAGAAACCCAACAGGATAACAGCATTTGGTCCCATAGCGTACTTGGCGCCTTTGCATAATGTTAAGATGGAAAACCTAAAGCTCTTCACAGGAGAGTGAAGAAGATTCATCAATATGGTGACGGTGGTTTGCTGCAGCTTCATCGATTTGTAGCTTTGCTACAACACTCTGTTCACTCCTGATTGGAGGTTTTCATCTTCGATTTTTATGGGAGGGTTGTTTACTAGCGTGCCACTTTCCCCATTCATAGTCCTCCCCATCTCTGAATGAGCGTGCCGCTGCTATCTGCCGTTCCGTTCAGACAAAAATGAAGTATTCATTAAAAACTTATAGCCTTGCTTCTTCCCTCTTCTCCCTTCTTGTTTTTTAATTTTCAGGGCTTGGTAGTAGCCCCATTTTATTCTTTAAATTGGATCGTTTGATAATAATGATCTTTATATTTGTTTTTGTTCACGACTGTTGCAGAGACTCTGCTTTTTGTTTTTGGAGGAAATTTGGTGGGATGTTTATCATTTGAACATTGGCTGGGTCATCTTTAGCCACATTTGTTTCTGTGTCTGCATTTGGTGTCAAAAACGATATGCGGCCTAAAAGCTCTACGTATGTTTCTTAAGCCGTGGTGAGTGTCTGTGTGCTATTTTGTGCCTTTTATCAATACTATCTCCACTCATAATCTCCTACAGTTAATAATTTTACGAATGGGTTACGTGCAACTAACACATTCTTTGTTCCTGTTCCGCATACCCTATACTGCTGTGCATTGGTTGGCCATTTATCCATAGAAGTTGGAGATGACGCGTTGCATTATTGTGAACATAGTTTTCCTTAAAAAAAAAAAGAAGTACTGTGAGCCATTCTAAGGTAAATGACCACCAAAGCTGTTTAGCGTGCGAGAAACGCGACACGGTGAAGGCCAACTAGTTTGGTATCAAGAGCCAGGTTCTCGACAATGCCCATAAATATGCAAATGACTGTGCAGAGTCTGCCGGTACACATTGCACTGCCTTTGAGTTGCTGAGTGAGCGCAGTTCGCTCACCAAGTGCCCACCTACAAGACCAAGTTCTCAATCTCGAAACACGATTTGTCCTGTCCGACTTACTGCATGCTGTTGGCATGCATTAATATTGGCCGCTTACTGTCGTCGCATGCATTCCTCGTCCCTTCATATTTTGTGCGTGCACGTTGCTCTTTCAGAGTGTGGAAGAGCACTTTATGTGGCTGTATCGTAGCAACTGGAGAACACGGAAGGAACTTATGCCATACTTGCCAGCTGCTGTTTTCACTTAGTTCGAAATGCTCCAGCATAAACGACTGCTGCCACCTTGAGCAGCCTGTGGAAACTGGCAAAATTTTGGCGGACACTATCAATACACGATACCCTTGTCATTTGCAGGTTTAAAAGAGAGACAGAGAGAGGAGGAGGTACCGCATTTTTATTTCTAGAGATTGTTGTCCATTGGCTGAAAAGTCAGCCTGGGCTCTTCTTTTTGCGGAAATGCATTTGAACAAACATGATGGTACTTAAATGAAAATTTATTTTTTATGTATGTTCGTGCACACAAAGTTGTATGCCAATTAATTTGTAGAGAAAAAAAAAACGTTAGTGCCTGAAAGTTTGGAAGCATGAGCTTAGCATTGCTAACAACCTTGCTGGTGCGTCTCGTGTGCTAACCGAAGTCCATTTATTGCGAATATTTCGGTGAAAAATGCAAACAAAAAAGAAAAAAAGTGAGAAATAACAATACAAGAGAAGGGCGCCGAGCCCTCCTTCTTCCTCTTTTGTGATCGTGATAAAATATGTGCCACCCACAGTGTTGCCTTTAGCGGCCGCAGCGTCGCGTTGCGCGCGAGGGTGCGGGTTCGATTGCTGACCATGGATGCCGCATACCGACGAGGCGAAAAATGTGGTGTATTGGAATTCCACCCACAGTTATGTGCCACTTAACTAAAAGACGAAATGAAGGACCAGGTAGTTCCTACTACTCTCGCCATACGGGTTGTTTCACCCATATTACTGTGACGGTGTAAATTTTATTGTGTTAACGCCCTTCTTTAGTTGTCTCCCCATAACAATGCCTAGATTTTGAGACGTTACACATATATATCTAATTTTAAATTATTTAAAAGAGTATTCAACTGGTCCAACCGCAAGGAGACCATCGATCTCCGCGTCAGCCGAACGGCAGGAGCGCCGCAGTTCCCCCTAGCGATCGCCGTCCGAAGCACCGCTCGCGATCGTGACCCCCTCATCCGCCGCGAGGTCTCGCTAACTGTGAGAGGGGGACAGAACGCGCGTGTGCAAAAGACAGGTTTTCTCGATGACGCCGGGGAAGGGCAGAGATCAAGGAAAAGAGAGTATCGGCGCGCGCGCTCATTTTTCCAATTCATTCGCCCAGATTACGTCACGCCCCAGTGCCCCGGCGAATTAGTGACCGGTGCACGAGCGTTCTCGCTCGTTCGCTCACTTTCCCCCCGCTGCGCCGCTACGTGGATGATGACGTGGGTTGCGTTTTCTTTTTTTTTTTTCGTTGTTTCTTAA